CTGATGACTTGTCCAGAAGTGTTCCTCTGATCAAATCTGTCGGCTTAGTCAGGACATTTTCTGCAGAGTTCATCAGAGATGAAGTTTGTCATGTAGGATTTGTCTGTAATAAAATAATTTTAGTAAAACCAAAACATGGGATTATACATACCCTCAGTCTTCTTTTAGGAACTTTTTTTAACAATAAAAAAAAGGTAAAAGTTATGATCAAGTGAAAAATTGAATGTCTTCAATTATACATTATTACATTTTATGATTAAACTTCCAGAGTGTAATGGTGGAAACTACTTTCAAATAGATCTACATTTTAGTGCCTCATCAGAAATGTAGAAATATTTCAACAAAAGAAGGTGTTTGGTATGAAATTAAATAGATTATTATTGAGTTATTTTTAACTAAGTAATTTTACTAACCTCATATAGGCAGTATTTATTTTCCAGGACTATATCACAGCAAAGAAATCCTAATACATTTAAGACACAGGAGGTTTAGTTTTGTTTCAGTCATAGAGAAATCAAATGTAAGTAAATATAAAATTTGAACTTGCTTTCATAAGAAGTTCTGAAAACTCCAGTGTTGGAATCTGTGGTATTGATGATTCCGAAATTGTAAAAAGTCTCTGTCTTTCAGCCCCGTTGCCAAAGAAGAAGCCATAATTTGTCTGTGCTGGTTTCAAGGTTGTTTATTCTTGCTTATCTCTAACATTTTCTGCTGCCCTGCCACAGGTCTGTCCTGCAGGGCAGCGTGTGGGGCTCTGCCCCCAGTGGGATGTTACAAACATTATATACCAGAAACTACCTGTGCTGTATTTACAATAATGTGCCAATATCTGTCACCTACATTAAACAGTGTGTCCCCAGCCTAAACCAACAGAAAAATGTCAACACTACAATGAAACATGGAGGGCATGAAGAAGGAGGAAAAGGACAAGACACACCCAATTTCCTCCATCTTGTCCCCTTTGAACCCCTAATCTAGAAACTTAAAATTTTACCTTTGCACCCGTGACACACTTAATTATTACTTATATCAAACACTCAGAGCTTGTAATTCATCCTGTAAGATTGAAAACTCCTCTCCATGGACAGAGATCACAGCCAGTGCCTCTGGGGGCTCTGTACAGGGGGGTTCCTGACCCCTGCCAGGGTCCCAGACCTGCCAGGGCAGCCAGAGGGAAGCCCTGGATTCCCACACTCCAGAAATGCCATCAAAATATGTTTTACAGTAGTAGAAAAAGTTTGTAAGACATAAATCCAGTTGCAGGTGTATATGAAAAACTAGATTTCATAGATTCAGCAGTGATCTAGATTCTGCTGGAATCTAGATCACTGCTGAACTCAATCATAAATACATATATTTAAGGCTTTGGATCCCCACATAAGAAATCCTAAAGAACTAATTTTAGAGAAATCTGATCATCAAGTGTGCATCAGGACACTTTAGAAGGAAGATCTCATATTGTGAATGACAAATTGAGGCAGACAAAATTAGGAGGTATTGTTTGAAATTTGAATTTGAACCCTTACCTGTAAAAAATAAAATTTTAGACTTTAACATTTAAATAGTAAGTTTAGATATAAAGTTGGCATATAGATTTCTGACACGAAGATGACTAATATGGAAATAATATAACTAAACCTTCTGCGATTCTTTCCTTAGTACTCTTCTGAGTACTGCAGAGAACTGCAACAACCACAGATTTCAATCAGTAGGAAGAAAAAGAACCCCTTAAAGATTTAACTGGCTACCAAAGAGAGACTGGTTGTATTGAATCAAGATAACAGTGAAAGAAAAGAAAATTGTAATTAATTCTAGATGGATATGTACAGAAAAATACAGAAATGGACAAAAATGTAGGCCAAGTTTATCCAGCATTGTACTGCCTTTTTTTATTAAGGGAAAATGTTGTATTCTCCTCAGATATTTCTGTTTTATTTACCCCTTATTGAGGAAATCACTTATTCTAGTCCTCAAACAGTCAATTTTTGTGTGATGACTTTACAGAATTACTCATACGAGAGAGACTTCATTCCCTTAATCATTTCAGTGGTCCTTTGCAGGCATCTCACTAATAACTCTGTATCCCTTTTGTACAGGGCAGCCCAGAACTGGCCCCTAAAGATGGTCTCATCAGTGCTGAGCAGAGTGACAGGGTCTTCTGTGACCTGCTGGCCACACTCTGCCTAATGCATTTGGGACACCGTTACCCTTCTTGACTCAAGGATGCACTGCTGGCTCATATTCAATTTGAAGTCTACCAGAACTCTCAGCTTTTATTGTGTAGAGCTGCTTTCCAGCTGGGTTACCTCCTGCATGTATTGAGGCACGGAGGAGCTGTTCCCAGGTGCAAGACTGCTCTTGTTGAACAGCATGATGTTCCTGTCAGTCCATTTCTCCAGCTAGTCACAGCCTTCTGGTATATTATCCACTTCTTCCTCTTTTGTCCACTGCAGCTTGCTGAGGGTATGCTCTGCCCCAAAATCCAGGTCATTAATGAAGATGATGAACTGGATAGGACCCAGGTTTGTTCTCTGGGATACACCACTATCTACCTGTCTCCAGGCAGACTTTGTGCCGCTAATCACAGCATAATGAACTTGCTCTTCATGCCTCATGCCACTTTTAAATCCACGTCACTGTTTGTTAAGGATTCTGTTACTGAGAGAAGCCTTGGCCTGAACTAAGGTGCAAATGGGACCATATGCCAAATGGATTTTATTTAACAAGAAAATGAGAGTGAAAGAGAGAGGGAGAGAGAGAGTAAGTGAGAAGAAAGAGAGAGAGAGAGAGAGCAGCAGATAGTCACTATCCATAGATCCAGAGGTGTCCTTTTGGTCCTTCTGTACCCAGGACTTCTTGGTGGTAGGAGTTCTGGGATCATTCAAAGCTTTTCATTATTTATAGATTTTTGTAAGCAAAGGAAGTAATGGTCATTGGTTACATAGTTCTCTTGTTCTATTGGTTAAAGGATTCCCTCACTTGCAAAGCTAATTAGTCCCATGCTTAATCTTCCTCTGGGTTGCAAGTTGGTGCTGCAATCTCCGTCTGCCAGAATTACCTTTTACCCAGCCTGAGCTGACTTCAGCACAGTTGGTAAATTGGCTTTCCCTGTGGCCCACAAATTCAGCCATTATCACTGATATATTCTTATTCCCCAGCTTTACCTCCCCCTAGGCCTGAAATAACACTCAGACAATAGTACCACCTTTATCTTGTCTCATGTATTCCTCACAGTGTCTTAATTCACAGCCCAAATTTCAGATATCCACAGAAGCATATTTTGCAGGGCTGCGTCTGGTGGTTGCAGATGCCAGTTGTCCCATAACCTGCTGATCAGGATCTTTGTTTGACCAGTGATAAGCATATGAGCAGCAGCTTCTTTACACGCTTCATTGCAGTGTGAATTTTTGTCTGGATTACCCAGGATGTGCTAGGTAGCATCACCCTGTTCTTTCAGATGTTGTACTATGACACAAAATAATTTATGCACATTCATGCTAGATGTAAAAGAAGGAAAAGACAAGAAGTTTATTTCTGATCTTGTAATTTATAGAATTTTAAAAGTGACAGTGGATTGGAGGATGGAATTGCTACCTCTCCAACCACACTGGTCAAACTAACAGTTTATCAATTTCCTCTTCCTACAAAGAGTGACAGTGGATTGGAGGATGGAATTGCTACCTCTCCAACCACACTGGTCAAACTAACAGTTTATCAATTTCCTCTTCCTACAAAGAAGAATATAAAACAATTATTATTTACATGAACATGTGTGAGAAACTCTAGTATAAATATGTAAACATTAGAAGGTATAGAAAACTTTTAGAAGAACTTTAAAACTTCTAAAAGAACAGCTCGACAAGCTAGACTTTGCAGGCCTAGTTAAGCCATTCTGTCACTCCATTCTGTGCTTATCTCATGGCAAAGTCTTTCTGTGGTAACTGTGTTTGAGACAGGAAACTGTGGTCTTTAAGTCCTTATATTATTACTGACTGCCTTACAGCTTTTTGCTAAATAGAAGGCATCTCAAAGGATAGCTTGGTGTTTTGGTTGAGACCAGAGTAATCCAAAGCATCTTTCCTTACAGCCTCTGCCTGGGTATGGGCTGAACACCAGCAGATGCTCTTGATGTCCTACCTTTCTCTTCTGTTCATCTGTGACCTGGAATTCCCCAGAGGAGAGTGCACATCTCATAGTTATAATGTTGTCAGGATTGCAAAGAACAAAATATACTGAAAACACATCCAAAAAAGCAATACTACACAACATGAAGACAGTTAGTTGTCAGATGATAGCTACAATAGATAATCTTACTCCCAGACTTTCATGTTATCAGCAATCATTTTCTCTAAAAATGACAAAAAAAATTTAAACCCTGTCTCTTCCTTCTTTCCCATCACAATATCACTAACTGAGGCTGTTGCTGACATGTGACAAACACAAGAGGTGTGTATGTAGAATACTGGAAAAAGATTAACTTGGATCTCAGCTTCTGTAGGCAGGCACAAGCCATGAAAGACTCTGTTATGCTTCTTCTTTTGATTTTCTTTAGAATTGTCTCATGAGAGAAACAAGATGATTCAGCCTTTGGCAGGTAAGGGAGATACAAACATACCCACTGGTTGAAAAAAAACTCACACACTTCTGAGTAGGCATGAAGCTCTCTTGCCTGTAAAAGTGATACCTAAAGTCTTTTCCTGGATTTCTGCTGTCTTCAACAGCTAAATGGTCTTCACTAACTGCACCGGTACTGAGAATTCTTCATTATCAGAATATGTTAAGATCCAGACCATGCCCTCAAGTGATTCTGACAAAAGCTGCCTGGAAAATACTGAAACAAGTAAAAGGCTGCTAATATAAAATAAGTTAATCCCAGTAGTAAAAAAATCAGCAAATCTTTGCTGCACCCCAAGCAGAAACAAAAGAGACATCACAGAATACAATGAATGAAAAAAAAAATAATTCCACCAAGCAAAATCTAGTGAAATGACTACAAAATATTAAAAACAACTCAAATTTTATTGTAAACATTTTAATACTATGGTATTAAGAGATACAAGCTTGCTGATCAGGATAAATTTAACCAGAAAACAGCCTACAAAGGACCTGCTCTTGCTCCAAGAGCTATTAACAGCATTTTACAGCAGACTTCAAGGAAAACCAAATTTGAGCCTTTAAACTGTTTCTGCATTTTTACAAAAGTATATATGTCAAAAAAACCCAATATATGACAAAAAATGTGCATCTCCACTCTATACCTCTTAGGTGTTTTCCTATGGAGGATCGATCTCTCAGAGTTGGAGTAGTCTTCATAATGTACATTTTTAATAATTTAAGAATAATCTTTCTCTGGAATTAATAATAACCCATATAAAATAAAACAATATTGCTCAATAAACAGTTTAAGCCTTGAAGAAAGGTAAAGTTAAACAATTAGAAATGTCCTGCAGAATTGTGAGTCCTACTAACTTTAGAAAAATGTCTCTCTCAGTCATAAATTCTTGTTGAAAATTTACAAAAAAGGCCAATATTAGATTGTATTTTTACTCTTCTTTGTGGCTCTTTTTCAAATAAAGCCATGGTAGCATGCTATTAAACATGATGTAACTTTTTCTTATATAACTTGTTAGCTTCTATATTACATTTCTTATGTTTCAATATACTTTTGAATATTTACTGAAAGATATTTCTTTACCAGACAACCTAGTTAAAAAAATTTAAATAACACTATTACTGGAATTTTAGACTATGTCACTTAAAGTATTTTTTCATGACAATGTTTTATTTTAGGTTTTTTTGAAATAAAAAGATAGAAGCAATTTTTTCTTAACAGGGAGTTGGTCCTTCCCTTTTCTGACATATGAGCAGTAATTTCAGAAGTTTAGAGAGGCAAACAAAAATTGCAGTTAGAATGGCAGTCTTGGCATATATGAGAGAGCTGTTTAAATTTATGGATAGTATTTTAGCATACACACCCACACATCTGCATGTAGCCAAACAGGAGTCTATGACTTATAACCCCTAGTTTTTAAAATACTTCCACCAAATGTTTTATTACAGCCTTAAAGCTTTTAAAACATTATGCTTAATGCCAGTAATAATAGAGCCAGTCACTTTTAGGCAGAGACAAAGTAACTGAGTGGATTATTCTTATTACAAAAATGCATTTTTGTCAAAGCCACAAGTTATGTGGTGATGCTGAATTTCAGTTCTTACATCTCTTTACATTTGCATATATTAAAAAAGATGACAGATTATTTAGTCTAATCATTGTAGTTAGAGTTGTAATTTTAAATTCTACTTATATGTTCTTGAAAATACTTTTTTTATGCAGCCTGTTAGAAAACTAAGTATTAGTAGTTGATTTACTGCTGATTTTCAGATTAAGTAAAAGTTTCTGGTCCTGATCCCTTCATAACCTGCAAGAGGCTGACCATGCTGGAGGTGCTGCAGTAAAGGAATATAAGATCATGCTTAATAAAACTCTGATTTCATTCCATCACATTTGGCAGATGGCACTTTCCACAACACATTTCTCCTTGTTCTCTGCTAGAACAGGGGAGTACACCACCTACTGAAAAACCACAGGTCTCCCACACAAATTCTGATACTAGAGGGACAATATACCTACACTCACATGCTTTTCTAGATGAAAGTACAGTGGACTTTGAAGATTTATGCCATTAGAAATAAAAACTTCCTTGTACCTCCCTGAAAAGTAAAGCTGTAAACTACCGTGTGCCATTCTTCAGAACCCAATTCCCATATGCATTTCTAGTATCTTTTACTATAATTTAATAGATGCTCTTTCACTTGAAAATACTGTGTAAAGCAGCAAGTCTGGAACGATTGTTGAACTGGCTGCAGTTTGGTACTGTAACTCATGAATCCATATATAGAATAATTATAAAGTGCTTTAGAATAGTTTCATAAGAAAGGTGCAAATAAATACTGTGCCCTGTTATGTACTCTCCCATGAGACATAAAGTCCTGGAGAGCCCACATTTAAAAGTATCCTCAATTTTTACAGCAATTTAATAATGATACTGATTTCTTCCACTGGAGAATGCTTCTGTCTCCAGTATTTAGTTGGGTCAGTATCTCACAGCATCATAGCTGGCAGGCCTGCTGGTTGCCCTTCATTAGTCTTGCTGGATCCAAACACACTCATCTAAATGGGTAAAAAAGGTATGGTGCTACACTGCAAATCTGCACAAAAATGGTCCTCTTATTGTGCAGAACTTGTGGTTGTTAGCTGATTCCTTCTTATTGCTCTTTGCTGAAGAAATGAACTGGCAGCACACTGCAGTGTAATTTTTCTTTTTGGTTAATAGGCTCAAAATATCACAGTGGAATGCTGATAAGTCTATCAGTTGTCAAAATTTTCCAGGATTTGGATCGTGGCACTGAAACAGCTCTGATGAATGTCTATATAATGCACGGTACAGGACTGCTCCTGCTCCCAAAAGATCTGAGTGAAAATGGGAAGCTTCTTTATAGCTTTTATGTATGAGGAATTGAAGCATCAATGAGTGAGTGAAGCGTGTCAACACAGAGTCAAACTCCCAAATGATTCTATAGATTACATTCTTCATAGTACACAGATCCCCCCTAAAAACTAGGAGTACTTCTACAGAGTAATCATTTTACAAATTAGGGGTAAATTCTTTTCCCATGAAAATCTTCCAAAGGCAAAACTCCAACTGAATGAACTATGATGTGGATTTCACATTACATCTGTAACCAAACTCAAATACTTTGTCACATATAGCAGAAGTACTGAACAGCTTCACAGCATGCTTGATGAAGTGTATTCCAATTCTGAATGATAAAAATGCAGTATCAAACATTTTACCTTTTTCCAATACTTTTATATTCACAATTTTTTTGTTCACATGACTGTCATTTTCCTTAACTGTTACTTCTACAGCCTAAAGAGGGAAAAAGAAATAACAAAGGAAACAGAAAACAATAAATCCTATTATCCAGTTGAGTGAATAAATGTAGATGATCACCATGTCCATATCAAACCGCCATCCACAGCTATCATCCTCGAAGTCCATATAATCCATCCTGTGAGCAGCATGTGGGAAATGCCTCCTTGTTACAGTAGTTGCGCGCCTTCGAAAACCTGCTGAAAAAACAGACTAGGAGATAAAAATCTTTTTAAAAGGAACCAGAATGACCAGCAAAAAAAGTTAAAACTCCTTCCTCCAGTTATCAAAAAGACAAATAGAAGCAGGAAATCTCACACCTCACTGCTAAGTTTCATCACTTTGTGGGACAAGAAGCTATCTTTGGAATTGATTTTGTAAGATTTAAAAAGTAACACTGTGTTCCTTAAAAAGTAATTGCGTTCCATGTCTAGAAAATAATGTTTGTTTGTTTGTATTTGGAATTCTCCACCATAATAAAGTAATGGTATCTGCTTATCTTATCCAGATCTTTTGGTGCCTTCCTTTCACTGAGTTTGACTCAGTTATCTAGAAGTGAAAGGCTCCATATACTGTAATGAATCTCTTTAGTAATTAGCTAAACTGGGTTCCCTAAGTCTACTCATCTGAATTCTTCAGTAATAAAAAATAATCACATTTGTACATACATACATCGTTCAACAGCTGATACACGTTTGAATTCCTGTTTCTAGAATCTGAGTTTCTTTCTCAAAAGTGTCTTCTAAGTAAATTGTGCTTGCTCTAATATGATGTTCATTATGTTTACTATAATGCATATCAGGTTAAAATTAAATTCTTAAATCACTGTTTGTATGCTGATAACACTTTAAAAATATATAGGCAGGTGAAAACAAGTCAAGTGGAAGTAAAAATCCTGTGTCTCCAAGATGGCCTAAATGCCAAAAAGTCTGTCCTCTTAATTGTTGTCCAGACTTCTCCATGTAGCAGGAGAGGTAGTGTAGAAGCATACCTCTTCCCTGTGTCAAAACATGGTTAGAGAAGAGTCTGTGCAGCTGTGTCAGACAGTAGGCTGTGACACACAAAAAAAAAAAAGCCTGGGAGCTGTGGTGCAAAGGCAGAAAATCTGTTTCATGCTGATAAAGGACAGTTGTACTCTGGATTTTTTATCTATTTGCATGTAATGAGCAATTTTTACGATGCATTCTGTATTATTTAATAAATTCTGACAATAAGAATAACCTTCTGTATCTCCAGATAGAGTGGAAGTAAACCATGTTGCTTTACCATCTGCAGATAAAATCTGAGAGTTGTTCACAAAAAGTGAATAGCAACATGGAGTAGGGGTTTGAATTATGAAACAGAAGACCTGAGGAAGCATCAAACACAGTATAATGTATTTTCTACTTCTTAAAAAGAATCCTATCATACATGACTTCAATCCCCAATTAATACAGTCCCCAAATAATTAATGCACAGGCATGTAAATGTGAAAAATTATATTTTATTTAACTTTCTTGGACATGCCTGTGTTGCTATACTCTGAACAAGAATTTCTACTCAAGTCAGGTGAATATGCATGCACAGTGCTGGCAGAGCCTGGCAGACTGTTAGTGGGAACCTGTTACTAGATAACAAAAACACTATTGTGTGTAAATCACACTTTTATATGCACCAAAGTGTGCAAACAAAAAAGGATTTTCAGTAAGCATCAGTAGGCACATCTGTTGCACTTTTCAACCTTCTGTCGAAGAACTAGCAAAACACAAAAAAACCGACAAAAAATTAAAATAACCTCCCAATTTTATAAATTGACCTTATTTTTTTAAACTTGAAAATAGAAGGTATTAGATAGAAATTTTTACTCTGCAAATGTCCCCAAATGAATAACATGCAAGCTACAATAGTAATTTACATTGTAAGTGCTCATGTAAAATTAAACTATGTATGAACAAGTGTTCTGAGGTTATCAGATATACCAAAGTACATAATTTTGGCATAGTCTCTTCTTTCTGCAGTGGATAAGAGCTATTGAAAGACTTTGAGAAAAAAATGCAAGTATAGACTAGGACCTTCCCATATGTGCCCTTGCAGCACCTGGCAGCTTAGTGCGCTAGATCTTTGGAAGCTGTTTTCAGAACAATGTGTTAAAACAGCATTGCATGCTTTTGAACCAGATCTCACACTGACTCCATTTACTGCACTTTGTGTCCCTTGATGGAGTAAATAAATTGTTTTTCTTTCAGGTAAAACTAGAAACAGAAGATGAGCTCTAAGAGCTCAGAAGTGTTCCAGTAATATGCTTCAACCACTAATGGGCATTTAGCCCTCGGGACTGCAAGTTGTCTCACATGCAAATGTGGACATTTGACCTCGCAGCATCAATTTTTGTGCAACATTATAGCTGATATAATTGCTAATGCAAGAATGCCTCTGAGAGACAGTGAATAATCTTTCCTACAACATCTTTATGCCATTCATAATTTTACAGACCTCTTGTATCTGTTTTCTCTAATATTCTTTCCAAACAAAAGAACTTTTGAATTTCCTTTGTATGGAAAAAGCTTCTAAACTTCAGACTATCCTTTCCACATTATGCTTCACCTTCCTTTATCTTTCTCTAAAATTATATGCAAAATTTGAGTTGTGGAATCACCACAAATCTTGACAATGACGTAATATTTTGTTATGATTCCTGATTACCTTTTTACTGTGGCTGTGCATGAAATGTTTTCAGAAAAATAATCCCAGTATTATCCAATACAATATACATTTCAGAATACATATATATTTCCAATATATTATAAATATATATCCAATATAGTATAAATTCCAGAAAATTAATCCCAGTATTATCCAATATAAAATAAAAAAAATGTCTTTTTTTAAATGGCAATAGCAAATTTACAGCACATCACAGTGAATATTATGCATTATGGAGGTGCATAATGCCTCTGTGTACACCTGCTCCACCACCTGACTGTCCCTCATAGTGAAAGTGTTTTCCTTACTTGCAATCTGCACTTTTCATATGCCTTAATGCTCATCCTCTTGCCACACACCACAGTTGACAGGTGGTCTGTCCTCCTGGCGCTCTCCCTACAGGTATGATAAGGTTGACTGGAGATCCTCCCCAAAGCCTACCCTTCCCCAGACTGAAGAAGCCAGTTCTCTCAGCCTTTCCTTCCAAGTCAGGTTCTCCAGGCCTCTGAGCATCCCAGCTGACCCTGGGTTGCTCTGCTAAACCTTTTCCAGTCTACTTCCCTCGCCCCTGTACAGGGGAGGCAGGCAAAACTGCAGGATTTTAGATGTGGTGTATTGAGCAGTAGGGGATAAAAGCTTCATCTACAGGTTTTCATGCATCATACTCCTGTTCACAAAGCCCAGGATGCTGCTGGCCTTCTTTGCTGCCAGGGCGCACTTCCAGATCACGCACAGCTTGCTCTCCATCAGGATGCCCATGTGCTGAGTCTATCAATCTGTCCTCAACTTTGCTGTTCTCTGCAGGCCTGATGAAAATGTATTCTGTTACTTCCTATAGGTCACTGATCAAAAGAACTGTTAGCTGACAAGTTCATATTTACTATCATTAGTGAAGTGAATAATTTAATATCACTATAAATTTTACCAGGTGTGTATGTGTCACTTTCTCAAATGACATATGAATATTCTGAACTACACAGACCACTGTGTCATTCTGACAAGCTCTCAGTTTGACTTGCTACGTGGTCTTTTACACTGTATTTTCCATCTCCTACTTGGGTCTGTTTTCCTTTTTAGGTGCCTGGCAAAAGGGTCTTTTTCTGATGGAGCACCTGCATTTCTCCAGCTTCTTGTTCTGTCTGAATAGCAGCCCCACCACTGAGTCTACCAATTTGTTGTCACCTGCAGACTTGACGACAGCATGGAGAAAAAAAAAATCAAAATTTCCAAGTATTCTATAATTTTTCAAGTATTCAGGTGTTTTTATGTTGCTTTCATGCTTTGACAAATGAGGTATCATCCCAAACTTCTTGTATAAATGCCAGCTTTCTCCCATATGCACATAGAAAGGCATTATATTTTGGTTATGCTAATGTAATATCTAAATTTCAAGATTTGCTAGTTAAGATGATCTGTGAGACTTGTATTTTCAATAAAGAAAAATCATATATTGCCAGAAAGGTTTATGAGAGAACAGCACTTAATCTGTGTGAATGACTGCAGGCATGTCCCATTGACTTCTCATCTTGCGCCCCAAGCTCTAACTCAGTCTCAAGCTCTCCACTATAACTCAAGTTCACAAAGTATCCAGTTCCTTCCCCAAACTAAGGCCGTTCAATGCAGCCACCATCCTTCTCAGATCCAGTGATCCACTTCTTCCACATTAAGAGCTTGAACCACACCACCCTCTTGCCTCAGTATGTCAGCTCCACACACCTATTGTCTCCAGAAATCCTTTTTTCTAGAGAGACATACAAATTACAAACTCGTTCTCCAGGATGCCTATCAGAACATTCAGCTTTCCTTTGTTAAAACTTCTACTATCACCTTCCAAGGCCTTTTCCACAGCAAAATCATCTTTCCACACCTCCCTCACTATCCTGCTCTTATCTTCCTCTCACTTTCTCTCTGCTTCCTTTGCATACTCCTCTGCTCTTGCCCTTCTCATTTTACCTGTGGGCTCTCACTACCTGCCAGTACCTTATACCCATGACTAAATTTACATGATAGCCTAAACATCTCTTCTTTTTCATCTCCAAAATCCAAGTCCTACTTTCTGATAGCTGTTGGGCTTTAGAAAACCTGGATGTAAAAATGTACTTAAGGTGTAAAAATTTACTTTCCTTACCTGAAACCATTTTTACATTCACTATGTTGTCTGTCTTACCAGTTATAGACTTTTGTTGGGCTTTTGGTTTAAGTGCTGAATTCTATCACAGTCTCAGGGAGGCTAATTGTATTTAAGCAGTAATTTGTGCATGCTTAAAATGCGATTTATTGAACTCACTGTGTCTATGATCCAGATGGTCTCTGCACATGAACAAATCAGTTGCATTCAGGCAATTTAGTGAGGAGCACACAGTAACTGCTTTTTAAAGGTGTCAAAGAATTCTATCTAAAAGAGTCTAAAAGAGGCTAGATAAGAATCAGTTACTGTGAAAATCTGAAAATGCCATGTCCTCAAGCCTTTCATATGGAACACAAGACTTGATTCCATATGGGACACTCCTTTCCA